ATGTATAATGATTTTGTAGCYGCACTGCAGAGYGTGTTTCCTCAGACAGAACTGGGGACATTCATGTCATTGACAAAGAGAGACAAAGAACGCCAACTGAATGAATTGACGCTTATAGTGACTGGAATACGGCTGTTTAACAGGGAATGTGGTAAAGGAGGAGAGGGCATTGATGACTGTAAGTAGATATACCAGGGTTCCTTGAGATCCTTAAAAAGACTTTGTTGTTGTTGTTTTTTTTTTGTTTTTGTTTTTTTTATTAATCATTTTTTTAAGTGGGCATTTTTAGCAACACTGCCATAATCTAATTATTTTATTAATTAATGTCGACAGTACCTGCAATATTGAATGAAGCAGTACCAGCCACTACACAGAATGTACAAACAGAGTTACTTGATACCACAAAACTGGCTTTCTTGTACACAGGTAACATCATGATACATTTTTATTATATTGTAGATGCATTGATTCCATCATTAGAATTCCCCTTAAGATAGACATCAATTGTCCACCCATGACGAGTATTACAACCCTAATGTACATATCACACAGGACCTGAAATACAATCTCAGGTCTGGCCAGCAAGCACAAAGGCAGGCCTTAGGCCGAACTGAGAGGTTTAATGAATTCATCACGGTCAAATATCAATAGACTATCAATAGATTATTAATATATTACGAACCATGCTGTATTATTTATATATTTATATTATTTATGTTTTGAGTTGTAATGCTGGCTGACCTGCAATTCACCTTTTCCTGCAATGGGTTTAATTTAACAATTATTGATTGATTGATTGATTGATTGATGTACCTTATTCGCATCACGCACGAGTAGGGGCTGTCCCCCTACGTATTCTATATATGGTATTAACTAACAAGCGTATAGCGGCCCCTAACAAGCGAATAGAGGTCCCTAAGGAATCCCAATTTACTGGTGCTATTATCAATGCAAAATACTTTAAATGTCACAAACAATTCGTTGTTTGCTAGTGTAATCCCTCGTGGTCAAGTTGGTTTTTACATTTGCAGCTCTAGGCGAAGGGTTAGGTTTAGGGAAAAGGACTTGTCAGTCTATAAAATGTTAAATTCATAATTCTAAGTTAAAATTTCATAAGAAAATTTTTAATAAGTTAAGGCGTAGCTAAAACGTTCGAATAAGTCGATAAAAAAACTGTAGAAAAATGTATAAGTGAAAAAAGTATGGACTTGTTAGGTGCTTCTATTCGCTTGTTAGTTTGTTCTATACGCTTGTGCCATATATGGAATACGTACTACAAACCCGCCTCTCACGCGCGGTCGTGAAAAAGAACGATGTCATGAACGGGGCCGCATACGAGTCCGGAAAGACATGTCCGTACCCGCAMCTCTTGCGTCCACCCGTCCAACAACCTTTGGCAAATCATCGCCATACAATTATAAAAAAAAATGATTATTGACTGAATGGGATGAATGGAAAATGGATGGTTTTTGATATTTCCTCGGGTCAAATATTTCCCCTTACGGCCCTCAGTCAATAATTTCATAGTAGAAAATATCATTTCGCAATCAGTTTCCATCTTCTGCAGGCATTTTTTGCATTGCAACTCTGTTTATTAATGGCTTTTTATTACAAACCTTTTTTCAGCATTGCTTGAAAGGTCCAAGAACAAAGACATCGAATTAGAAGAAAGGACTAGTGAACTTTTATCAGAAAGTTTGATTAATACCAGACAACACGAAGCGTTTCTTAATATTCTACTGGTAAGAATAGTTGGATTCTCTCTTCGTTATTTGATAGTAAATACCATTTCAAAAAAGGTTGTGAGAACGAAACGACGATTTCACGACTGTAAGTCACTGTTGGTAATCAATTTTTGATGGATAATAATCACTTATATATGCTGAAAACCAGGGTCAAACTAAACAACCCATGTTTGGGTCAGTTTCTTATTTTACTGATGCTAMTATAAGTTGCTGTTTGTAATAGTCTGGCGAAACGCTAAAATGTCTGCAATGGAGGCTAATGAAATTCTTAACAAACACAGTCAMCTGTATTTAATGCAGAAATAGCCTGTGGCTGTAAAACGAGTTATTTTAGGCAATTTCTTTGAGCGGAGCTTGCRTTGCGGTTTGCATAGAATTTACACGGATGGAGCAAGGGCTAACTGTTGTCTCGGTAACAAAAGGGGTGTCCGAATTGTAAGGCACTAGTATRATGAGAAGAAAAGGCAAAAGATCAGAATTAGTCGGGATAAAAAGAGAGTAATTATTTGAAGCAATGCATAATTTTGTCCAAAGTTGAACTGTGTTAAACTCCCAATTTAATATATGTTGTAGAATTCGCAGTTTTAGTCTGTTTGTAACAGCTGTGACGTGTGATGTTTTTCTGTATTTGTAGAATGATGTAATTGGTTGTGCACAGCAAGTAGAAGCGCTAGAGTCTCAGTTTTCAGCRAGRATGGAAGGACTTAAAGCCACAGTTCAGTCCAAAACAGCCGTCCCTACTGCGCAGGTCTATGTATGTATCACTGTTATCGTTTGTGTTATCAAATTATCATAAAGCTAATGGTTTTCAAGCYTTATCATTAATTATGCATAATTTAAGTTTATGATTTCCCAAGTAATAAGGTTCCTCTAAGTGTTTTGATTCAAAATTACTTGTCTGTGATTACAAGTGTACATTATTTATGGACAAGTAATGCTTCATTTGTTTTTAACAGCCTCAGTTCATCACCCTTGCTCACATATGGACAGGCTTCCAAGATGAAATGGTGTTACTCAGTGTTCTTAGTAATATACTGGCTAGCTTGGAACCTTTCACTAAGGTAAGTATTTCACATGATGGCGTTCAGTATACTAACAATACCATAATCCTTTTCGGTGGTTACCAAGGGCTGTTGTACGAAGCTAAGGTTGGAGTTGGATAAAGTTATCCACATTTTGTATGGCTTTTGGTAAATCTTTTATCGAGACTAGAACAGACTTACTAAGCTTCATTTTCTGGTATCGGAACTTTTTATTCACTGCTTACAAAACAAAACAACAGAGTCGAAAAACATGTTTCGTCTTTAATGACCTTCTCAATTTCAACTGACAGTTGATTTACAACGTATTGCGCGAGTAAACCATCGACTGTGAGTTGAACTTGAGAAGGTCATTAAAGACGAAACATGTTTTTCAACTCTGTTGTTTTGTTCGCTACGTTAACGAGATAAGCAGTGAATGAAAAGTTCCGATACCAGAAAATGATGTATGGACTCTTTGTTAACTAGATAAGGATTTATCCCTCGGATAGTGCTATTCACCCTTTGTTCAATCCTAATCCAGAATGTTCCTTTGTTTCCATAGACACACAAGGAACTACTGAATGATGAAGTACTGTCACCTTACACAGAAAACCTAGAAATAAAGACTGATGACCAGCGTATTGCTGAGGTACTATATACTCTTATTAATGCAAATTGATAGCCGYRGRATCTTGTGTCAAAGACTTGGTCGTTCATTGATTAAACGATAGCACCAAAATTTCTACAGTATTTTAAAGGCAGGTGGCCGCGTTTTTATTCGGCTATGGTGTCTGTGCACAAACTCAATTTTTGATGGCTTTAGAAGCACGCCAGTTTAGGATAAATCTAAAATAAGTAGAAATAAACTGTGCGCGCTGTTCTTGAGACAGCGGGAACTTCTCTAGAAGGACCATCGCACGATCCCAAAAGTTATCGAAATGATTGTCGCAAAACCAAAGAAATGCGGCTCATTCACCAATTGGGCACTTATAATCCCCATGGGTTGAATGAACGCTTTGTTTTCAGATAAGTTTTAATTCTTTTGTTTCCTTTTTAGCACCTTTATTGTTCTTTTGTCTAACACTTCCTTTGCTTTTTTGTTTATTTTTCGTTACCATGCCTACCTTGCTCCTATTGGTCTATTCTCTTTGTTACTCTTACTATATAAACTCACACTATACCTAGTTCTCTATCTTTACTCCGACGAAGGATTAACCATCCGAAACGTCAGTAAGTTTTTCCACATACTTTTTTACGGTGTTTAATTTATCTTTTTACATAACAGTTATCGAAATGTCCGTGCACATATGTCGTCAGTATGTTTGCAGTCTAAAGTCAATCGATTTCCCAATTTTTCTTATTTTTTTTTATTTTTTTTCACTGTTTCCCTAAGAAGGAATTGGATTACCATTGAATCTGAAAGTGTGAATGTTTATACGGAAGAAATATAAAATCAGAAAGCGTCCAGAAGTGGAGATTCCACTGTATACTATAAACATATTCAGTTAATGACATAACAATTTGCTTGCGCAAAATATTTTACTGTGAATCACTAAAACTGCCGGTTTTGAATGTATTCTTTGTGTCTATTTTCGTTGTGTTTGACTTGATAATGTCTATGTTGTCAATAATCAGGCTTATTTCTTCTTTAGACGTTAGCAGAGGAAAGCCGTGTCAATCCCAAAGAAATTGATAACGATAAAATAGAAGTTCTGTACCACCAAACAACCAAGAACTTTGACCAACTACCCATACAATACAGGGTAAGACGCGCTTGTTCTCACTTTGTTTCTTAGTAGAGTATCAGGCCTGACCTCAGGTTATATCAGGGCCGTAGGCTCGAGGGGTCTTAAAAGGTCCGGTGTTTCTCTTTTTTTTTAGGCTATTTCAAAATTATTTTCTTATGTACTGTTTGCGAGTATGTATTTTGCTATTAACTGATTATTCTAGCAGCCAGTCTATACCCGTGTATTGAGCTAATTTAGTTAAACATTTAATTAAGGCCCGCATTATAAAAAACTACGCTCTCCGGTCCCCGAGTATTTGTAAGGTAGCCTACAGGCCTGCGTATGTATTAATTTCCTTGAAGACGGTCGATCTAGAACAATACAAGAAACGCTACGAAAATAAATCAGCGTTCTGTGTTCCGTAAAAGTCATGTATGGATGGAGAGCGGGCGGATTTGAGGAGAACTTTGTCATATAATCGTGTTGCGCATGTCAAGGTTAAGTAGTATAGTTATTAGGTTTAATCTAAAAAAACGTATATAATGAATGATAGGGCATGATGGGATATCATGGGTTGCAGTAATAGCACACACATAAGAAACTGAATGTTTCAATTCGGCCTAAGTATGTTAAGATAACTTAAGGCTAGAAAGTATTATGATTATTACCTGCGGGCGCGTACTATAATCAAGTGTACAAGAGGTATCCGATATTGCCAGCCTACAGTACATCAAGGCTAATGACCGATTGGTGTATTACGTAATTCTTAAATTCTTTCCATTGGAGTTGATGACTGTACAGGGTACTAGAAATAAATCAATATCTTGGTTTCAGGGTTTTTGTGGATGGTCATTAGTGGCTTATGATCGTTTATTAATCCTATCAAATCCTGCTATTGGAGTTCTTCGTTACCAAGACAACTATTATGCATTCAGAGATAAACAAGCTGCTTACGAGTTCTCGAACGCACCTGACAGGTTAGTTACATCCACCTTGGAAATCAGACCACGAGGTCGAATGAACTACGAGTTGATAGTCCATGAGGCCGTACTCGGCGGAGTGGTCCGTTCACGAGACCGAGTGGTCTAATTGTTTAGTATCCACCAAACTATAGGGAAAATTTGACGAAAGAGCATGAAAGGGGCATGGTCCACCAGCATCTCTTTCGAGCTTTTGTTTATGCTTGAAAATAGAAATACATCGTAATATAAGCAAAAACTTACTCTTTATTATTCCTTTATACTATATGAATGGAGATGCTTGAAGATTCGGCCTTTAATCCGATGGATGAAACGGATTCGAATAGAGATTCGAAGTCACCTCATTTTCCATATTCTCTACTTTCACATGACCCATAATACCTTCTGATTTTGGGGGGTAGGTTTTGTGATGCAAATGAAATTAATTGTTATTCAAATATAAATGATTTAAATAACAATAACTACCCCCCAAAATCAGAAGGTATTATGGGTATGCGCAAGTAGAGAATATGAAAAATCTAAAACACGACCGCATTGCATGCTAGCGGACCATGTCCCTTTAAATGACAACTTTTCAAGCCGGTTTTTTCGACTATTGTCGCTTCACTCGATGAGGGCGGATTATGAATAAAGAGCATAGTGTAAGAGTGCAATAGCCAATCAGAAAGCTGGATTTGTGACAGACCACAGTTTGGTAGATACATTTATTTCGGGCTTTGGAACTGGGTGATTTGAGAAAATGCGACTAGCCAATCAGCGCAAAGCTGTCAAGCTTATGTTGTAAACATAACCCCCCGACGGGAGGAATTTGCACAGCAAAACTCGAACGAGTGGAGTACTTAGGCTACCTGCCATTTTATTCTATCCGAAAAATCAAAGCTAAAACGCAAAGAAAATTGAAAATCTTTATAAAATAGCTTTTATTAAATGTCAATAAAATATTTATCGTTATAGAAATAGAATTTTATCTTAAAAATTAATAATAAATAATGTTTTCTTTAATACCAAGAGCCTTTCCTCCCTGATAAAAATAATTGGTCTGTGTTCTACGCGGGTTCTCCATTGCATGCGAAGCAATGGCCGACTTCACGAAGACTTCAGAAGGTCGTTGAAGCGACGTTCAAGTCCAAAGTATCTTATGGAGGAACCATTGTAAATCCTTTTTCTTAGCTCTTGTTTCCGCCCAAAGCTTTGAACATCACTGAAAGAGCTAGAGCAGCTTAGCTCCATGTATTCCAATAGAGTTAAAGCGTTTGTTATGTTTCATACAAACAACTGTCGTAGTTCATCCTTTGTCGCATTTTYGGCAATAACCCGCAAGCATGCTCGACGACACAACGAGTTGACGTTATGTAACAGGTCGGTTACACATTTACTAGCTTTGATCTTACAACGAGAGCTAGAACGATGACTGCGGTTTTTCGTGTAATGTCTTGATAGCGATTGTTTATGTCGAAACGACTCAAAACAAAATTCCATCGTGGAAAAAGTTCGACTAAATTCCCATCTGAAAAACACGTGTGTATTTAAGGTGGAAAATGTTTCATATGAGCATTCAATTCTTAAAGGATTATTTCTATAATCATTTTGTTTAGTTATGTAAATAAATTTAACACGACTTGTACTGTTTATCTGAGTGAAAGGAGAGCTGCGGGTTTTCCCTTTCCTTTATTTAGATTTTCAAATATGACCGCTTAACAAAAATGCACGGGCTCACTGGCTTACAACCTTGGCGAATTCATATGCAGGCCTGGTCGCAAATCAATCACCCAGAAATTGTCAAAAATGTTTCATTAAGAAAAGAGATCGTTAATATATTAAAGAAACTTAAAGGGTGGGAGAAATATTGGACTCTTCTTCCTCTTGAAACGACTGCAGGCGCAGTCAGTGTGTCTAGAAATGCCACGAGCTCGTGATAATAGACCTCTGAATCTTTTACGACGACTTTTACGTCTTGCAACGTTAAACGCAATGCATTGTAGGATATGTTTTGAACAGAACATGGAGGATTTCTTTTGTTTTCACTAAGGGACGGTCCATTTAACNAAAAAAAAATGTTACATACAAGAAAAAAAAATCTTGCTCACAAGAAATCATCCAACCCCTCCCCACCCCACCCCCACCCAAAGTTAAATGGACCGTCCCTAAAAACTGATCCCACAATGCCTTGAAAATCAAGTAGTGACGTAAAGAAGTCTATTCAAACAAATGTTTTAGAACTTTGGACTGTTCGTGGCAATGTACGATGTCGTCACCATCTATTAATGAAGGATTGGTATGACCACACCCGAAACACGCTGCATTTCTAGGTGAACTGAACGTGCGATTTCCTGTACCTATTTTATGTGATTTTGCTTTATTTAGTTACATCAAAGGAGTCGCAGAAGCTGCCAAGAAATCCCCTGAACTCATTCAACTTCTTGAGCTTCACACTCAGTTTGCCTCTATCACTCCATATACTCAGGTACACAGCTATGCGAYATATAATCAACATCTAACATTAGTTTATAACTGAATTTATTAAAAGTCGATCATAGAACTGATTGTAAAGTTTTCATATTTTTGTTTATACATGAGGAATTCTTTTGTTAATTTGATTGATTATTCGTTTTGATTGATTCATTGATTTATAAATTTGTCTGGTTGTGGGTTGATTGATGGCTCAGCCAATTGTTTCTTGATTGATGTTTTGTTTTGTTTTGTTGGCTCCTTTATTTTGGATGGATGGATGGATGGATTTTTTTCATTTGTCCAGCTGTGGTTGATTGATGAGTAAGCTGATCAATTGATTGTTAATCATTAGTTTCGAGATCAAGGGCGAATGATAGAGGCGCCCATCACCAAGTGTGACAGTGGTACACAGACAGACACCCACTTCATGGAGACCAACATCGTGAAATCTTATGAATGGAATGAATGGGAACTGAGAAGAAAAGCATTAAAACTGGTCAGTTAACACACTATGTTTACACCAGTAAAGGCCGATTTAGACGGTACAACGTTTGCCTACAACTGTCGCATGCAACATGTGTAAGTCATCCTTACAACATGGCTACAACTGTCGTAGAGATTAAAAACAATTGTTTGATAACCCTATGACAGTTGTAGCCATGTTGTAAGGATGACTTACCCGTGTTGCATGCGATAGTTGTAGGCAAAAGTTGCACCGTCTAAATCGGCCTTAAAAGTATTGCTCAGCTACATGTACTGCTTGTGAATAAATATTACTGAACTCGGCTGTGCTTTGTGAAGCTCAAAATGCCTATCTACTCTTGAATTCTCAACATTGTTCAGTTAATTCCCGTAAATTCAATTCTCAGTTACTTCCTGGTAATCAACAATGTTTCTGTGGTTTCTTAACAGGCCAATTTGCGTACCAAGATAACACACTCTGTACAGACTAACCTGAGTAACTTTAGAAGAGACAATGTCAGTCAAGTGTACCTACCAAAGTAAGCTATGCTAAATAACTACCATACAAATATTGAAATGTCTATTGCTTCCGTTTYACTATTATGGTGTCATGTCAAAATGTAACAGTGAAAAGTCAAATTATCTATATAGTATGAAATAAACAACAGAGGCGGATCCAGCTGGTGGGTGCAGGGGGTGCGCACCCTCTCCTGAGATCTATTTCTTTCAATACTTTCCTTAATTTGTATCTTCATGGTAATGATATTTGTGGGGTGCACCCCCTCCTGAGAGGGCCGTACCCCTCCATGAGGAAAATCCTGAAGAAATCTTACTGACTTGATCATGTTGATGTGACATCATAATTGTATAACGGAAGCAATAGTCCCCTTTAGATATTCTGGTTGAATGGTGTAAAAAAAAAAAAGAATTGAAGACGAGGCTCCGGGGAAGATAAAAGAATTATCTATTRTTTAAATCGAAGACTTGTCGTCAAATCTTTGTTCACTAAAATATCTAATGTCTGAATTTGTCACATTTAAATTTTACTAAGTAATGTACGTTTTATCACCTGCAATTTTCACAATCAAATTTCTGTTTTTGTCCCCTTGGAATATCTAATCGCAATCTCGTTCCCAGAGCCATATTCTACACTGCGCAGGCTCGACTGAAAAGTATGTTTAACTCGCGCATGCGTCAGAGAAATTGATAGTCTGAAAACAGATTGATAGAATTATTTTAAGATGGTGGACGTAAAGATTATTTTAATACAATTCCCAACCAGAATTCCCTACTCATTCTCATGATCAAAGTAGGAAGTGCGCATGCCCGTTTTCTCCTACCCCGCATTTTAAATTATTATTATTTTTTTTATTTATTTTTTTATTTTTTTGTAGGGATGAAATAACGCAAACAAAACGCGACAATTCATCAAACGTACCCAAACCGTCTCGTTTTATCGCTGGTTTACGCGGCTGTAATTCTACAAAGACAACGATGAACTTGGTTGACTTGACATTAGATGTCGACCAGACATGATTGGTGCATATGCTGTAATTATTGTAAAGATACTTTGTATTTAATGTTTTAATAAAGATTTGTACATTTAAATTCTTTGAGTTCGTTGCATGCGCCTTTGAGAGAAGTGTATATGCTTGTATACAACCTTATGCATATTGCGGTTTGCGGTACGGTCTTACGGCCTCAAAGAGGACGCTTCGCGCCATAAATAAACTAGACGCTCTTGGAGCGTGAAGTCGGGCTAGCTATTTTGGAAAATTGAGAAATTACTTGGATTTGCGAATACGTGAAGAGCGAAAGAGTTCAACAMGATAAGATAAAATTCGTATCTAAAAAAACATGTTGTATTCTGACAGTCATATAATTATATATGAAAGTAATTTATGGCGTAGACCTTATCTAGTTTGTTTATTCACGCACCGCGATATTCTTTCCTGGTGGCTTGTCGCAACGACATCAAAACACTAGAAATATCGTTCCAGGAATGATATTCTGTCTTTCTCAATTTTCAAAAATAGCTATCCCGACTTCATGCTGTAAAASCGTGTAGCTCATTCAAAATATGCAAATTTCGYGAGAYTTAAAAAGGTMATATAAACAACACTTTATAATTTAACAATTTTTGATGCAATGTTTAAAGGAAAGAAAACCCTATTTACTTATCCCGTTTTTTGTACATGGACCAGCTTATACTAATTAGGGGAATTTCCAAATGCAACTTTTTCAAATAAATTCAAAATATGCTCTTAAAACTTATATGCTAGACGAAATGGCGCAATGCATTTGATTATCAGATATCTTGGTGTAAGGTTTCACGTTTTTAATTAAGAAATGACCTCGCAGGTCAAGAAGCATATTTTACAAAACAAGACTGCGATGAATAACACAGTAAATGGGGAAATATAATAGACAAAACTATTTATTGATACGTAAAATATAGCTATTAKAACAAATAAACTTATCACTGTGAGTCTAGAGCTGATTGTAGAGGTTGAGAGTCGAGTAGAATTGAATTACAGCTGACCACGTGAGTTGTGGGCTTATTTTTCAACATCACGTGATCTAATATCAATCTCGTGTATTTCACTTCGAAACTTAATTTTTCATAACTCTTGTTTCACAATTATATCGAAAATACAGTTATATGAACGGAAATAACAACAATGATCGTCAATCAGAACTCGAAAGTGAAAGAATTTGAGTGTCGCGTGTAGGGGATTCCCCCAACGTGTGTTGATGTTTTCGCTTTTGGTCGATTGAAGCAGTCAACTATCACAAGCTTGCAAGAACATATACCACTTCATTTCAACATGCAGCAGGAAGAAAACAACGGTTTTGGACCGTTTTACAGACAAAGAGGATCAGGGGCGATATGGGTCGCGATTACAATCCTTGTGGTCTTCGTTGTAGTCACATTCTTCGCGGAAAGGCCACTACAACACAATGTTTTGGCGTTTTACTTCTTCGCTATTAGTTTATCTCTACTTGCCTATATGGTCGGAGAAATGGCTCGAAGGCTTTGCTTGTTTGGTGAAGAAGCTCGCCATTGTCGTTCACGCTACGAAGGAAGCATGAAGAAGGCTTTAAAGGCGGCGTTTGACTTCCAGAACAGTGAAGTCATTGCTCTATTCGCAATTATGATCGGCTTAGGCACCTATGCTTCCTTCTACGACATGTGGTATTCATACAAGACCGAGTTTACGCGATTATTCTTCTTGAACGCCATTTTTATTCCCTTGTTTGTGTTCTTGTTCGGTTTACGTAAGCTTTCACGCGTGGAGTACTCTCAAGTCAACGAAAAAGAAAACAAAAACCTGGCCGATGGTTTAGCTTGGGGTTATTACTTTGGATACCTGAAGTTTGTTTTGCCTGCGTTGGAGAACCAAATCAATCTAACTGAGAAATACCGCTATGAAATCAAAGTCCATAAAGTGTTTATTATCATCCCTAAAAACTGTTTGATTTTAAACGAAATTTCAAACAAGCAGTCAGATCCAAAAGGACTGGTCAAGATTGCTGTGAATCTTCAGCCTCTAGAGATGAAACGCGGAGGCATCGAATACCGCACGTACAAACATACAGTACATAGGTAAGATCCAAATTATATTCTCAATGTATTCTTGTTGTTAGTCGGACTAGCCGAAGGCGGGTCCGACTTTAAAATTACCTTTTAGCCAATCTATCTGCGGTCATGTCGCGTTTGGACCACCGGAAGTTAAGAATTTAATTATTTAATTATTATAGTTAAAACTATTGGGCTGGCTGTGTTATTACATAACCGGAAGCTCAAGCGTATTGATGTACAAATATCGTTAGTAAATATTATATGCTACTTGGCTTTTATATGACAAAAAAWCWATTCGTTTACAAATGTGGTATCTGTGATCTCATCGGAATGCATCTGTCTAGGCATTAGAAGTACGCGCATGTGCAGATCGCATAGAGTTTCGAGTTGTATGCTTACAAGACTGAATCAATATCCTGTCTAGTGTTAGACAGTCTTGTGGGGGCAAAGATTTCAAATTAGAACAAGAAGAAACTTTGTTTATCAAAAAGAAAGGCGAATTTAATGATTTTATAGGCATCTTTTTCCTTGTAAAGTTTTTATTTTCTTTGCCTGAGAGGTCATCATGATATCACTTAGCGAGACATCAACGTTCACTTAGCATCACATAATCTACATACCAACGTTTGATTTTATCAGTGAAAGCAAGAACTACTTTAAACGCTCATTGCTGCTGGTATCAATTACATGACCTTTAAGGTCAAGTGTATTTTAGTCTCAAGAGAGTTTGGATATTTTGAACTAGACAGTCTTATTAGACCGTGAGTTCGGCTATTTTGGAGAAAAATTAAGAAATATATTTTAATCTAATTTTTATCTTTTATGTAATATCCTGCTGTATTTCTCAAGTTTCATTTACATTCTTAATATCATATGATTAGACAAAATATAACATCATAATCTTTTCACTCGTGTCTATCAATTTTCAACTAGCGGTTCCTATCTATTTAAAGTGAAGTGCTGCGATATGTAAATTCTGTGATGCTTTTTCAAATTGGTGTTAGGTTTATTTGATTTTATGGAGGGAGAATACATGGCAAAAASAAASAMGATTAGAACGTATAKGTACACTTTATTACAGACTGTATTTTTTTAATTTTTTATTTATTTTCGGGCGATTGTTTTGATTTGTTTGCCTCGTCGGGCGATTGTTTTGATTTGTTTGCCTCGTCGGGCGATTGGTTTGGCTGGTTTGCCTAAATGTGCGATGGAAGTTATGTCATCGGAGACCAAAGGACTCGACCTGGCAGATAATTCAGAGAAATAGTCTCTTCATCAGGCATAGAGCGCGACCATGCAGTTTACGGCGCATCATTTTATAATAACCGCTGATTATGTAATGTTTACTGTAGGCTCGAAGTGTCTATCGCTAGCCCACGATTCAGTATGTATGTATGGCACAGGGACCCCAAGAGGCCTGCGAGATTAGTGTCGCTGCTCACTTCGTTCGCAGCAAAAATAGCTAGTCCGACTTCACGCCCCAGGGGCGTCTAGTTGTCATTAAAAATCGAGTACATGCATGGTTGCTATAGATGACTTCACGCTTGACAATGAAGCATGGATAATCAGGACAAAATTACTAGAGGCAGTGGAGAAAGAGATACGTTTTTCGCAATATTTCGTTTCTGAATTAATAAACATCCCAAACCAGACTCTTTCTGTAGATGGATAATTGACTGTTCAATGTTTTGTGCCTATTTTTGAGCCGATCAGGTCATTCTTGCTGCGGCACGATTTTTTGCAATGGTCAAATTGAGCTATTTTCAGCGAGTCGCAAATCTACTGCCTCCGTCCTTCTGATAATCGGTGTTTATATGTGGTTTAATTGGCTCAAGAACATCACAATACATGGAATAGAGGTATCCTTATCCAGTGACCGCGGAGCGGTCAAATATGTGGGCCGGGGGCCGGTGAGCGCCGAAGGCGCGATTTTTATAGGAGGTCCGGAGGCATGCGAAGTTGATCACTCTTTAACGTTTCCAACTTGATGCCGTCACAGTATAGTCGAGCTCTGATCATCGATTTTTTTGTATTTTTTATTTTAGTCTTACCGATTTCATTTACTATTAATTTTTCGCCGAAGCAAAAAGTGGGGGCCCCCCAGCTCCCCCCCCCCGTCTCCGCGGCCCCTGCTATCGACTACAAAAGTTTGGTCCCGCAAATTTTCCTCAGAATGGAAATATAGCGAATGAAGTATATCTTTCCCCATCGCCTCTTAGTAATCTTGTCCTGATTACCCATAATTCATCGTCAAGCGTGAAGTCATCTATTATGGATGAGCAAATTGTTAAGGTTCGTACTTCATCGACTAAGGACAGAAACCTATAAGGGACTTGAAACGTGTAGCGCCCATACATTTCTTTAGTACCAAGCGTCGGAATATTCAAAGCTCATTGAAAATTCGAAAACGAACGTTATGACCTTATTTGGAAAATTCGGCCGTTGGAAAAGAGTTTTAAGGCCCGTTGTGAATTGTTCCAAATAAGGAAATGAGATGCAAATTAGATTTGAATATTCCAACGGATGGCACGTCGATACACGTTTCAAGTCCCTTATAGGTTTCTGCTAAGGCTCAGACTGGCAGGGCCTGAAATGATATGCGTCACTGCAGTACAGAGTGCAAGGTCTTGTGTGACGCCAGACGAATACGACTAAAACACACAAAAAAGGATTGTTGTATACTTCCGGGTTCAGGCGTCGTGCTATCGTTGCGCTACTCTGGTCCCAGAGGCTTGTCTTTTATTCTTTTGCTTTCTCTTCTTGCCTTAAGGTCTGAGGAAAGGGAAAAATGGGGTCATTTTCCACTCATTTAAAATAACACATATAAATAATGGTGGTTTTTGACTAGTATATGTATAAAGCATATGAGATGGACATTCCAATGATATAGGTTACAACATGACACACCCACTTTTAGAGGCGTAAGTGGTTTCCTTGGCAACCAAAGAAAAAACGAATATATTTGAAAAACTACTTAGGAATTGCTGAAATTCAATTTTTTTAAATGATTCAGCTGAAATACACTAAAATGCATATTTATTTTTATCCGAGCATACCGCGATTTTCAAAAATCTTATTTTTTTACGGCACTTTTTGTGTTGGGCACATTCAAATGCCTCTAAATTACGAACGAAGAAGAAACTCGCGGTATACTCGGATACGATCGTTGATTCACACGGTCGAAATAATAGGATAATGTCCGATATCACTCAATTTCTACATCTATTTTTAATATGTTTATGCATACCAAGCTCGTTTTGTATTCACGAGTATATATTTTCAAAACAGATAATACATATTATGATATTAATTATGTTCATTATTGTCAGGAGCGTCACTAATTATCTTAATTTAATTTATATTCATGATTCCAGCATTAAAGACGAAGACACTGACGAGACTTACTATTGTATCATGGAGTACGCCACACCCGTGATGAGCCTGTATCAGATGTCTGACGATCCTAGAGCTGCACTGTCCAGGGAGGAGAGGGACAACCAAGTGAATCTCTTCATTGCAAAGCTGAGGGAAATCCTCGACAATGATCCGGAGTGTAAAGACAAGTACAAGCTTGTTACTTTTGGCGGAGAAAACCAAGACATCGGCAAGATTATGATAAGAGCCATGAAAGAGTGCACTCTTGACTTTGGCGAGAAAGATTGAAAAAGCGAAACTCGCGTCAAAATATAGATATGAATTATTACGTCTAATTAAAGAGAATAAAGAGTTGTTTAAATTCTTCAGTACTCGCCGTTTGACTGGACGATTATTTTCTTTCCTCAGGCAGGCTAACTTTATAAATCACGTACGCAGACATGTATTAATAAGCTCTTGCAAGTGAACAGACTGTACTTAAGAAATATAAAACGGCGCGCGTGTCTCTGTCCTCTGATATAAACACGGTGGGAGTTCGAAAAACACGAGAGAAGCAAGCTTAGGAACACGAGCGTAGCGAGTGTTTCTCTTGCTTCTCGAGTGTTTTTCAACTCCCACCGTGTNGCTGACCACGTGAGTTGTGGGCTCATTTTTCAACATCACGTGATCTATTATCAATCTCGTGTATTTCACTTCGAAACTTAATTTTTCATGTTTCACAATTATATCGAAAATACAGTTATATGAACGGAAATAACAACAATGATCGTCAATCAGAACTAGAAAGTGAAAGAATTTGAGTGTCGCGTGTAGGGAATTCCCCCAACGTGTGTTGATGTTTTCGCTTTTGGTCGATTGAAGCCAGGGATGCCAACCCACGAACTTTTCAAATCTTGAGAACGAAAGTGATGACGTCATACCGGTAATGACGTTTCATAACATTGTCGATGACGTCATCGCATTTATCAAATTTCGTTATAACTAGTGATTTGACTGGATGTATCTTAACCAATCATATTATAGATTGTATTGTGCAATTGAAAATGGCCACGGATGGCGTGCAGTGTTATTGTTATCAGAAGACTGGGATTTTTTCAGAACTAAAATGACATGCAAGGTAATTTGAGTTTTAATAGATGAAAAGAGATATTTCAAAAAACTGATATATGAATCGTCATTATCCGGGAGATTTAGCGGTAAAATCTTGTGACCGGGAGAAACGGTCGAAAATCTTGAGACTCACGGATTATCCGGGAGAGTTGGCATCCCTGTGAAGCAGTCAACTATCACAAGGTTGCAAGAACATTTACCCCTTCATTTAAACATGCAGCAGGAAGAAAACAACGGTTTTGGACCGTTTTACAAACAAAGAGGATCAGGGGCGATATGGGTCGCGATTACAATCCTTGTGGCCTTCGTTGTAATGACATTCCTCGCGGAAAGGCCACTACAGCATAATGTTTTGGCCTTTTACTTCTTCGCTATCAGTTTATCTCTACTTGCCTATATGGTCGGAGAAATGGCTCGAAGGCTTTGCTTGTTTGGTGAAGAAGTTCGCCATTGTCACTCGCGCTACGAAGGAAGCATGAAGAAGGCCTTTAAGGAGGCGTTTGACTTCCAGAACAGTAAACTCATTGCTCTAATCGCAATTATCAGCTTAGGCACGGCCTATGTTTCCTTCTACGACATGTGGTATTCATACAAGGCCGAGTTTACACGATTATTCTTCTTGAACGCTATTTTTATTCCCTTGTTTGTGTTCTTGTTCGGTTTACGTAAGCTTTCACGCGTGGAGTACTCTCAAGTCAACGAAAAAGAAAACAAAAACCTGGCCGATGGTTTAGCTTGGGGTTATTACTTTGGATACCTGAAGTTTGTTTTGCCTGCNCCTACGTTGTCTCTTTTATTGTCCTTGCTCTTCGTGTGAAGTTTCAGGTCATTTGGACGACTATTTAGCGAGTTTTTTTGGTATTTTGTAACGTACCTCCGTAAGTTACTTAAATTTAGAGGAGGCTTCGCGCCGTAAATAAACTACAACGAGTAAATCCAGGCTTCTCGTATCCAGTGTAGTTCCTCGTATGAACAAAAAATCATCAGTAAGATAAGTAAATGAGAAATGAGGCATGTGTTGACATTGATGGGTCACCCGTTTCTTCCCAACATCCCTCCCCCCTCCCTCAATCCTTCCATTTTCCCCTTCCCCTCCCCTGTAGCCATGCACCGGGCATGCAGGTTAAACAGGTTTTAGATGCTTTTTCAGGAATGTGCCATTTAGCATCTTTGCCAAACACAAACCGACACACACCCATTGTTGGCGCTCTAGTCGAGGTTTTCTGTGATTTCTTGATTGATTTTCTTATTACTGGATTCATCTATTAGGTAAGTGAAAAATACCGCAGTAGGCGACAAACTGAGCCCAGATCACTTCAAAATACGTGAAAATGAAGAAACTTTGACTTGACGAACCAGAGATATCGATAACACTTCAGTTTCGTCTGTACATATAATGTATTTCCTAATCGCTACGCTAACCATTTATTTGACAGCAAACAAGATCAGTAGCCTCTAAAAGTCCTAAAACAAGAATATACTAGTAAAACATTTAAGATCAGAACATTGTATGAATTAGCCATGTTACATTAATTCATTGACAGATATTGCTACTCATAGGACTGACTTCATATTCTTAGTAAGGAGACTGGCTTTATTAGTCTTGTGAAGATTTCGCTCTCATCCCTGAAACATTCAAAATGGTTTTACACAACAAATAATTTAAAATATCAGCCTAAGTACTGCTGGCGAAAACCGAGAATCAGGTTTTTAGTTAAGCTTTAAATATAAATGAAAATATGTGCTATGGCACTGAATTTAGGGTCAACCGCTTTGCTTGGAGTGCTGTGTTCTTAACTCGAATGACGTGGCAGTTCTCGTTTTTTTAACAGAATCGAATTCTACTATTTAGTTTCCCTGTACAAGTGAACTCAGTTTATCTTTTAAAAGCAAAATCGATTATGAAAAGGAGTGTTCTTTTCAGTTTACCGAATAATCGATTCTTCAAACGCAATTCCTCTTTGACTCACGTTGCGTTTCTAATTATATTTGCAGGTTATTTGTTTAGCAAAGAGTGTTGATCAAAGGAACTTGAGACAAAGTAAGAAACCACTGCCAGACGATGTTTCTGGCTGGCTGTCAGAGAGAAAACATACAATCCGTCGGCACGCGATCGACTTTGACCTGACTGGTATGCGGATTAAAAATTAAATTTTCTATTCACTTTTTTCCAATATTTAGCTAACTATATTGATAGCGGAGCTCCCGCACGAGCGGAGCACCATAGCTAAGAAAAAATGGTATACCATCGAGTCGATTTTCAATGGACCGACACAGGGATCCCGCGCGTACGCACGTTTCCTTCCGTCGTTGCTGTTCCTGGAGTGCGTGTACCACCACAGGAAACCCATACTCCGGAAAAAAGGAAAAAAGCGCCAAATATTTGTTGAAAAATCGATTTGTTTTCCTTAAACATTTATATTCCATATTGATAATGATATTAGGGCCACACCCACTTTGAGGAGGGTATTCGACACCCAGCATTTCAAAAGAGCAAACACCAAGTTTCAAGACACACAACTTTTTATCTTGCACACATTTTTAGGTAGCCAACTATCTTAGCTTTTGCTAGAAATTAACAACTTCCACATTAGTGTGCTCTTTCATGTGTTTGACTTGAATGTTAGTCTCTATGTATGACATGTAATGTCCATCACAAAAAAATGCTTTTTTTAAATACTAAAACCAACAATCTGATCTGTTAGCTAAAACACTTCTTCTAGTAAGTAAGTTTGTTTAGAACATCATTTTAGTGAAATAACTTTTTCTATTTGGTTAAGTATTGTGGAGAAATAATGTCCATCACGTAATGTCCATAACATCAAGTAAAGGTAGAAACAATGATTACAGTAAATGCAAACATTGATTTTTGCATCCTAACTCAATGTCTATGTTCAGCTTTGAAGACCTTTGAGTGCTCTTCAAGTGCTTGAAGACTTTTTCTATTTTTTTCCTGCTTTGGGACTTTGAATGGACCTGCATGATCTTAATGCCAGTCCACAGAAAGCACATGAATCAATCTTACTCTCTATGTCATGATCAAATAAGCCTTGTTAGCTAGTATAAATAGAAACTTGCAAGAACATATTTATACAGAGCATCTAGAGATGTCATGAAAAAGAATGGTAAGCAGTTTCCTTTCAAAAAGTATTCTCTGAGTATGCCTTTGATAAAAAAAAGACACTGGCCAGAGTTAAGCAGAAAATGCTAAATCGTTAAAACTATTTCAGAAATAACATAGTTTGTGAAAAAGTTTAAAAAAGTTCATATGTAAGAACTT